TAAATAAATAAATAAATAAATAAATAAATAAATATTAAAAAAATGGAGAGACGCAGTCTGTGGGCCCATTTTTTCAGTGCTGGGGAGTTAACCTGAGGCCTTCCTTACACACTAGGTAAGTGCTTCACCACGGAGCTACAGCCCCAGTGGTCTTTACTTTGCTATAGGGAGGATCTCACTACCTTACCCAGGCTGGCCTGGAAATGATTCTATAGCCCAGGTAGGCCTTGAACTTTCTATCTTCTTGACTGAAGACTCTCCCATTCAAGGATTATAGGCATGAGCCACCATGCTTGGCCTTACAACAGACTGTTCTATTAAAAAAAAAAAAAATCTCAGCCCTATAATCCTAATTACTTGGAGTCTGAGACAAGAGATCCATAGTTCCAACAACTAGGGTTCCATGCTGTCATAGTCTAACCTAGGAAGTAACAAAGGGGGAGTGGTTTCCTGGAAAGATGGCACACTCTCAGCTACTGCTCCAGCACTGTGCTACTGTGCTGGCCTGCTTAATGTCATGCTCCCATCATAATATGATGCACACGGTCAGATCCCCTGGAACTGGAGTTACAAATAGTTGTGAGCTGCTATGTGGGTGATGGGAATTAAACCTGGGCCCTCTGGAAGAGCAACCAGTTCTGCTAACCACTGAGCCATCTCTCCAGCCCTTAATCTCTTCCACTGTGTTGGTCATGGTATCTCTTCACAGTAAGTAAATAAGACACATATACAACACAAAGGCCTGTGGTGGTGCATGCCCTTAACCCCAGCAGGCAGGTAAACTACCTAGTTTTTGAGACCAGTACAACAAGTTCTAGGCCAGCGTTACACAATGACACCCTTTCCCAGAACAACAAAACCAGTGTTTTGTTTGTTTTTGTTTTGTTTTTTTTCAGACAGGGTTTTTCTGTGTAGCCCTAGCTGTCCTGGAACTCGCTCTGTAGACCAAGCTACAGCTTGGTTTTTACTTTTATACAGGAGGGTCTTACTAACTTACCCAGGCTTGACTGGAAATTAATCTGTAGCCCAGGCAGCCCTTGAACTATCTTCCTAACTCAGACTCTCCCATTCAGGAATCATGGGTTGCTCACAGAGATGTGGTGCCTCTGCACAGACATGTGCCAACCCCCCAACAAAACCAGTTTTAAGCACAGTGAAAGACACAAATCCAAGGAGCATTTTCTCCCTGAAAAGTTAAAGAAACTAACGTCTTGCCTTAGAGTGTTAACCACTGAATTTTTAGTGAGTTGAGTCCACATAGTACAGGTGTAAGGGTAAAAATTAAAACAGCTCAGCAGAGACCACAAACAACTTGGCAAAGACCACAGTATGGCTTGCTGAGCTTGCTGAGAATAGCCATAATAAAAATATCAAGCCCCTCTAGGGACGAGATGACCAGAAATGTAGAAACAACCAAAGACATATCTTGACCAGTCTAAACATGCCCAAGTGAGTAATGGGCCACCTGGTGTTTATCCTAGAAGGTCTGAGGCTTCATGGTCAAAAATAGTGGGCCATCCAG